CACACAGCCTACATCAAGGACGGAAAATGGCCCTCACCATCGCTCACAATCACAATGGTACGTTCTCTAGTGTACATAAAATAGGTATGACCGGCTATGAGAAAGGGGAGGAAAACTGAAAAGTCGTTTTTGGTACCGTTTGATAGATTTAGAATCACGTAGAACATTACGGTATGCGCAGTGTCGGTTGTACGCTACAGACATGTACAATATCTCTGTAAACGGGTGCACACTAGATTTACTGACGTGTACTATAGGACAGACAGTGCATTTCTTGCCAAAAGATCTTCCTCTATAATTATGACCTCATGGACTTATTATTTTCCTTTCCCTCCCTCCATTCACCAGTAACTCCACCTCCAGCCCACAACTGAGTGCAAGACCCGACACATTCTATGAACACCCTCTTGTTTTGATTTTCGTGTTTTCCTAAAACTTTTCAACCTGTACATGGGTCTCTTGAAGCGAATGTGGCGGCATTATGAAATGGCTATATAAATTTAGCAATAAGGCCGCGGTGAAAGAATGCAGCTTATAGTCACGTTTTCTAAATTTAGGCCACATTCCCTTTAAACTGAGTGCCGAACCTCTTTAACCAGGCGTCTAGCGTCTAATATACGCATGCGCACCGCTTATTGATGGTTGGGCCACGCAACGCGGTCCGCGACCGTGCCAGTTTGTTGCTCTTGAACGCAGTCGTTTCAAGAAAATCGCCTTTTTTGTTTTCTGGCTCGCGTAGTGCTGGTATCACTAATGGGCCGCCTCGTAGCCTGTGGTGCCAGAATAAGCGTCGACACACACACACACACAGACAGACAAACCAACTACCGTAACCCTCGCTGCGCATGCGCGCCGAGGGTTAATTAATTATACCTTTCGAGACTGTGCAGATACAACGTTGCTAGTAGAGACGTGTGAGCTACTGCGGGCAGACACGCAAACAGGACAATCCTTTTACGTGACTAATGAAAGTCATAGCAGAGCCTATCAAACTTCTAATAAATAGCGTTTCATTATCTCGACCATTGTCTTGTGGTGAAGTGATGTCGAGAGCTGTTTGAGGCGGGTTCTCACTACGTCCCTCTGTGGAGGTGTGTAGGGATCAAAATCCCTTGCTTTCGGTCTCTTAAACATTGTTAGTTGGTCATCTTTGAATTTTTCGACAATTTCATCCGCAGAGTACTTCACATGAAGAAAATCTAGCATTCGAAACACCTGCAAAAAACTGCCCATACCAACACAAACAACTTTTTGTTGGTTACCTCTTTGGTTGTGTTGCTCTTAATGTCTTCGTAGGCCACAATCAGAAGTGGTTTGTTGGTTTTAGAGAGCGTGCCATTAATGAGGCTTGTCCAATAATTAACCTCTCCTCTAACCCAATTGTTCCATCCAGAATGGCTACCTGCATTAGGGTATTTGTGAATGCACTCTATAAGCAAACTATAATTATTATAACTGACGGAAGTATTCGACTGGTGGATCGGCGACGTGTACTTTTTCTTTCGTTTTGTACATCTTGTTATAGATGAGCTGCCACTTCCAGAATGACACGATTGCATCGATGGGATTACGAACGATGAATATTGTAGCATCACCAGGTGTCTACATAATATATGGAAGAGAAACCGCGTTCCAACAGACAGCTTAAGGCATGCATGAAAATATTTGCCACTTCAAGACTAAGTTTTGAGTCACAGAATATTATATAGTATACCCAATCCCATTATGAACATGGGGTTACAGGGTAGGGTAGGGCTACGCGAGCAATACAAAATGTTGACTGAAAACTTAGTATTAAATGGAAGAATCAACCCTGCCTGTATGCTCAACACATATGTGCCTGTATGCTCAACACATTGCCAATTCCTCACTCCCACTCACCAAAATTCATTAGGTGACTATGGGCGTGCGCTATGCGTATATAGTTTCACGTGTTTATACTCTACTTTACTCTGGAGTCTGGAAACAAATTGCAAAGCTTTGTGGTTCTATTTGGGTAGAGAAGGATGAAATTGAATACAGGTACAAAATATTTGACTGGTTGTCATCATCACACATTCATACACAAATGATGTGGGGACAAAATTAGTATACGCTAAAATTAGTATACACCAAAAATGATTTGTGCAAAAACGCTAAAATTAGTAGCCGCAATTAATTGTAACGAGCTACTTGTTCCATGCTATGAAATTTGCATATGAGCCGATTCTCGCTCAGTTTACATACATAGGCATTATTTGGCGAAAGTGCTATCAGGGTTTCATCTACAGGGGGGGGGAAGCTTCCCCCCCAAACTTCACCACTTCCCGTCATAAATTTGATTTTTGGAATGTCACATTGACAATAAAAAACTGATGCCTACGTTTAAATACCTCCTGTGTTTGCAGCACTGATGAGTGAGTGGTATACTTCCCCCCCCCAAATTCCAAACTCTAGATGAAACCCTGGCTATATTATTATGGTTGCACTTGGTAATAATGTGGGCAACAAATACACGAGTGATTGGTGCAGTGTTTAATTAAAACACTGTTTTAGTTTGGAGGCTTTTTGTTTGCAGATTACGTGATGTGGCATCTAACTAGACTGTCAGTCCAGATAATCTGCCAGGATCAGTTTTAGGCCAAGTGTATGTACTCCTGCACCTTAGTGTCATGGGTCTTGACGACCAAAACTGAACTAGAGTCCACGCCTTCTCCAATCATCCCCGATAACATCATGTCATGATCACAGTAGACGGAACCTGTATATATAAGGCAGCACTAGGGTCATAAACCAGGACAAAGAGCTGCCCTTGGCGGGATGCCCTAGCCCTTTCCCAATTGAGAGTGTGGGGCCACTAACTAAGCCCAAAACAGATGCAATAGAGAGGCCATTCCAGACTATTATACTGATGAGGTTCGTGTAATTCAGCATCACCTGTGCATATTCCTGTAGCTCTCTCCAGCACTTGTCGAACCCAAGTGTTTCCGCTGCCAGGAAAGCTTCTCAGTAAGTATTTTGGTTTTGACTCCCCTTTTTGAAATCGGCAGGTCGGAGCCGCAATTCTTTTGACAATGTCTGGAATTCTATTCATGCATTTCAAGTTGGGAGAAGAGAAATTGGAACAGATGGCGTCAGAACACTGCAACTGTGCCTTTGGAACTTTAGGTAGAGCGGACTCGTTGAACCATTTGCTCCGAAGTTGTGCTAGCAAGATCGATGGCGGGGTAGTGCTGGGGACTCGAGCAGAAATGCTGGTCTTAGAAATGTTGCGGGAGATCCGAGCGGTGGAAATACTGCTTGGGGTTTGAGTAGAAACATTTAGTTTGGTGGGGATAGTAGCAGTCGAAGTAGCAGCAGTAGGGTTCTCGTGTGATGCTTTCCTTCCAGTTGCTAGCTCACTTGTCTGCCTGCGATTAGAGCTGGGGATAGTAGAAGTCGAGGTAGCAGCAGTAGGCTCCTCGTGTGCTGTTTGCCTTCCAGTTGCTAGCTCACTTGTCTGCCTGCGCTGATTCAATGAGTAGCAGGTCGCCAAGAGAAGTAACGATGCCATTAGTAGTAAAAGCCCGTAGTGGATCTTTTTTTTAACTGGCGCCATTGCAGGGTACTGCCTAGTCTCGTTATTGGCGCGGCAACTACTATTATTATGGGTAACACCAGACCCTGCCTCGTTCCCAGGCCTCCGAATGTATCCATGTGATTTCATATACGTGAAATATGATCATGTTACTGAAACCATTCCATAAGCCAATGCAAGGAGTGCTGCAGGGGCTGAACATACGTACGTACTTAGACATTTCCTTCCCGAAAGTGCGCTGCTGCGCTGGTGATTAATGCGCATGCGCACCACCAATTCCCAACTAACTCTGGTTAGCGCACGTGAGCCCAAGTCTGCGCGCGCGTGTGCGCGATATGATGCGGTAACGCGGTCCGTGAGGTTACGCCCACTTTCACTGCAACAATGCAGTATACAGTCCTGTGCTACCTGCCTTTTCGCTTTTCGTTGCGGAGAACTACCTATGAGCCAGTCAAATATTCACTCTTCGATGACACATTGTTACACAACAGAATGATTCAGGACTCATAGGCATGTTGTTCATTTGATGCCAGCAGAGGTCAGAGTTCGAACTTTGACCACACCCACTGTAGTTCTGAGTGGCTCTCCCTTGTACTCTGCAACACAGTCACTGTTCACCAGGAGGTCGGCCTTGGATTAGAAGGTTGACATAATGTGATCGAATTACATTACCAGAATGAATATCAATTGGCAAGTGCATGTATCGTGCAAATAGAATCACGTATAACACAACTCTCGGCATACCTGAACCTGTTCAAATATCTTCTTCTTTGGATTCAGAACTGCATCAGGTTCTGCAGGAATTGCAAACTGACACGATACAATACAGTGGAACCTCCATATAAAGAACACACTGGGCCTTTTCAGTCGTTCCGCAAGTATCCCGTATAATACGGAGATTTATTTTTTAAAAACGGAAGTTTCTACGAGTTTTTATACCTGGGTGCATTCCTTCATTTTATTTGACTGTGATTCAAACAGTGTTAGTATAGTACCAGATCAAAACAGGTGGAGAGCTGTCCTTATTCTCAGTGTCAGGTTCAAAGTCCTGCTCTCTACAAGTGTCCTTTATTGGCGAGCAAAGCAATCCCACCCAGTCTTATGAATGCGGGATTGCTCTAGTAGAGAGGTGTCCTTTATTCCGAGTGTCGGGTTCCGAGGTCAAACACCAGGCATATAATATTACTGACATTACTGACATTACTGACATTACTGCAGGTCTAAAGCGTATCCAACCTCCAGCAACGTCGTGTTGGTATCCATCCACATAGACCCTGTCTCCAGGTTTAGAGTCGGGAGGAGGGTCGAGTGGCTCCACACTCTCATCTCTGGTGACGGTGGGGGTTAAATGGAATGTGGCAGTATAATATAAGGGCCAAATTTGAACTAAACAATGGGGGACAAAATCGCTGGCCCCATAGCGTCCGTTTCCACTGTATGCATGTGTTAGTGACCGCGACTTGTCCGTCCCAAAGCACACATCGAACTCTGACCCGTACAACATCAGGTGACCAGAAAAATACGGACCGAATTACAAACCAAGTGACGGACAGTATACGGAAAAGTGATGAATAATGCATGAAACGTATGTAGGGATTATGTCACGGTCCTGCGTTCATCAACACATGCAACACTCACTTTGAAGAGGCTAACAACATGGCTTCAGATCTCACTCCTGCGGAACACACACAAACACACTTCAACGCAATTTACTCATCTCTGGTAATTATGACCTATGTACCCTTCATGTTGGCTGGCTTCAGGTTACACAGGAGGACCACCTTTCTGTCCCTCAGTTCTTCAAGTGTCAGATGCTTGGCTAGACCGCTCACTACTGTACGAGGCTCTGAGAAGGCAGGGCGGGGAGGGGAGGGGAGAAGAGGAGAGGGAAAGAAAGGGGGAAAGGGAGAACGGAAGGAGCAAGAGATAATGAAGAAAAGAGAGACAATGGACTACAGCGGGAGATAAGAGAGAAGAGGGAGGCACTGAAGGAGGGATCTATGTATCTCCATGCTTAATCACTCAGTTACTACCTGTGCTATATGTATATACACCTAGAGCTAATCACTCATAGTGTCAGTGGTGTATATTATAACTGAACAAGAGAAGGCTAAAGAGTGACACCACGTTATACGTACCTTTTTCTCCAATGTCCACCTTCTCCACATACAGTGAACTGACACTGGGGTCTGGATGCTTCATGAGATACAGTGAAACATCACACATGCACTACATACATTCAGATATTTACAGTGGAACCTCCGATAAGGGACCCTCCGAGATAGGGACAACCTCTTTACAAAGGATACTTGTTTCAACCCCATGATAATACTTTGGTGTATTATTTGACCTCCGAGATAGGGACGACCTCTCTACAACGGACAAAATCGTTGGGCCCGTAGTGTCCTTTGTTCGGAGGTCCCACTGTAATGCCATACCTTCTCAGCAGAGATGACCACACCCACTCTGAGATCCAACCTGGAGATGTCTACTGGTCTGTCAGGTCCTGCCCCACCCCCACCAGCTCCCTTCTTACCTCCTCCCTTCTTCACCACTGCTCACATACATACACACATAAAAACAACAGAGTGCACTTAGAGAATATCTATGAAAACTCTAAACTAGGAATGCGCACGCGCATATTTTGCCTCGCGCCTGCCAGCCCAATGCGTCAGTCCGACTGAGGCCGCTCGTGCGCACGCTCTACTGACTGCGTGCGAAGCCAGACTTCCTACGAATCTGCGCACATGGCGGAAGCTAGACTTCCTACGAGATGGAAGTTGACATTCCTAAGTGTGACTAATTGACATTCTTAAGCGTGACGGACACGTACATATGCATATCGCGAGAATACAACCCAGAGTAGTTGCCTCACGCTAATGCGCTCGGCAATTATTATGAAACCTCTAAATAAGAGACACCTTGGGGACATTGGAATTGTCCTCTATTCAGAGGTGTCCCTCATTAGGAGGTGGGTGTGGTTCGAGCCCATGATACATACAGCAGTCTATATAGGCAGAGTACACTGTATGTATGTATGTATATAATTATGTATGTACCTTCATCAGGATAAGCCCTGTCTCGGATCATTTGCATCTCTGAGTCGGCCGAAAACTTGGCGTGAATCGGCTCTAGGAGCTGTATGTATGCAACACAAAGGATAAAAACCTATCAGAGCACATCATGCAGACAGTGCAGGACTCTAAATACCCCATAATTAGGTTACTTTCAAGGAAGGGGCAAGCTCCGTGGTGTAGCAACAAGAAAATCGTTTGAAGAATCGAAATACACAGGCCAGAGCTACACATGGTCTTCCCCAAGACTATAATACCAAGAACAAAGAATATTACTGTACATATATACCTTGCTCAGCTCCCTGGCAACGGCATTCTTGAGGTCCAGGGGGTATATCTCCTCCTTTGCATAAGACTCCTCCAGTTCTGTGAACGTGGTGTATCGCACGTTTCCTCCATGCTTCTTTGACCTCTCTATCACAAACTCTGAGAGAGAGAGAGATGAAAAGGTTTGAGACAATAATGAAGAGAGAGTAAAAGAGCAAATTTGTGGATTTGAAAAAATAATGGAGTAAACCGTATGGGAAAGAATAGGAAATGGTTTTGGTTTGAAGGATAAAAAACGGGATATTTCATTAATTTCTGCGCAGGTTATTGGCCCAAGTATTGCACATGGGAGATCTTTCCTTTCAAAGCAGGGAAAAGTATTTCATATTTGGTACAAGGTTTTTTTGCTATGTACTCATCACGTCACACTTAGCATCTACCGCTTCACCTGTTCCGTCCAAGACAGGGAAAAGAACGTGTTTGGCAAAGGCCAGGATCCCGTTTTCCTGCACGTTTCCAGGCTCACAGAACGCCTGCAGAAAAAAAACTGTCACTGCTCTAATCCTACTGTACTACGTATAAATTTGGCAAGCAAACGAACAAGTGGTATATGCATAGTCTATGACATTGCAAGCACTCTACATGAATTTTGAGTTTTTTTGTTTGTTTATGGGTGTATACTTGTGATGTGTAATTTGTCCGATAAAAAAACAAGGCTAACCTTCTTGATTTTCCGTTTGACGTCTCCTGGCGAGTCCAACAGATCAATCTTTGAGTCCTACACAACATAACAATCAACAGCTTACACCTATACACCACCTGCAGATAACATGATCCTCAAAACTGTGATGAGGGATATTATCTGCTTGAAAAACACTACAGATAGTCACAAAAAACTGGGAATTGGTGATTTTCTGGTGGGATAGGCAGTATAAACTTTGCTTGAAGCTGGATAGTTGGTTAAGCATGTCAGCTATACTTTTGTACAGTTGCATAATAGGGTTATAACGTACAGGTTCAGATGCGCTCATCTTTCCGCCAGTCAGACCAGGAACTGTGTGACGTAGGAAGCACAGTGTTCTTATGCAACACTCGCAGTACCGTATACAACTTACGTACCCATGGGGTTCATGAGGTGAATCCTCTTCTTGTAGCCCAGGTTAGGAAGGTACTGGCGGGAGATATATATTAGCACACAAATCAGTGAACTAACTGTAGCCATATACATACACATACAGTTGAAGAACAGTCTATAAGTCGAAATCGCGCACAGTTGAAAAGAGCCCGGCTCTCTATACCAACTCTTGTGATGCCAGTACAGTATAGACTAATGTACTTATGAAGAGGAGTGTTTTCACTTGCTCACCTTTTCGGCAAGAGTAAATATTTTTCTTTGGTCCTCTCCACCGAATTGGGCATCGACTCCTTTGAGATACTCCTCATCCAATGCCTGCAGAGAGGGTCACGTGGGAAGATTTAAGCCCGGTGAGTCAAGACAGTTTGCTCTAGTCAAGACAGTTTGCTCTAGTCAAGACAATTTGCTCTAGTCAAGACAGTTTGCTCTATATAGTCAATTTGCTCTAGTCAAGACAGTTTGCTCTAGTCAAGACAATTTGCTCTAGTCAAGAAAATTTGCTCTAGTGTGATTGGTGAGCAAAGCGAATCTATATAATATATAATAATTATGAATTCCACTATTTTCTATAATACATCCTATCAAACACTGCCACCCGTCTAAGTACTGTACGTCAATCACAATTAGGTGGGCACGGACTTGCAATTATGCAATCATGAAGCACTTTGTGTATCAGTGACTCTCACTTCATTCGCAAAAAACTGCTTCGAGTACACGTTCTCTTCTGACCGCACCAATGTGAAATTGGCTATGCCAGTAAGTAGCCATTAGCTGGTATATACAGTAGCTGACCTGCAGTCCAGGATATAGGAGTCCACTGAGGAGGGGATTCTTGACCTGTTTCACCACCTCAGCCCCTGCCTTCTTGGCATCATGCTACATGTACGTACACACGTAATAATTATGGCTCAGTTTTCACTCATAATGGCAGCATTCATAGAGCACATGTACACATACAGTGGAACCTCATTAACATGAACTCCAGGGGACCATAAAAAATGTTCATATGTATTACAAGGAACTTCACTATAACCGTAGCTAGTTGTATTAGTGTTTTAATGCCTGGGGGTTCAAAATGGTTCGTATTGAGCAGGTATTTCGCTTTAACAGTGTTCGTACTAACGAGGTTCCACTGTAGGGCACTTACCTCAGTCACTACTGAAGCCATTCTGTACACATCCAACGTGTACTCCCTACATACACATACAATGTTCACACCGTCATACATACATACATACATACATATATAAGATAGCAAGACGATATTTGGCATTTGCATATACTCATTGGAAATTGCCCCTGACACTTTCCGGGGAATGAATTAATGAGTTACTAGAAACAACTTCCCCCCCCACATGCATGCACACACACACACACACACACACACACACCAACCTGCTCAGCTGGTACTCTCGGTACTCAGAACACCTCACCCCTCCTTTCTTCCTTCCCTCCCCCTCGTCCCTCCCACATGCATGCACGCACACACACACGCACCACCAACCTGGACTCGCTGGTACCATCCGGTTCCCTCCAAACCTTGAGTTCTCCAGAGGAACACGTAGACTCTCCACATGCGGGCTTGTGATGCATGCATGCCTCATTGTGTACCTGATCTATTAGGCCAGATGCTTCCCAGGTGTGGACTTCAGGTTGTCCAGGACCGCGCGCGATGCAGTAGGTCTGCCAGTAGAACGTCACCTATGATTGTGATTTGTGAGTGTAGAAGTTCTATGGATCATTATTCATATATTTATGTACTATGTGGAGGGACCATAACGGATTTTTCTCAATGAACCCGAGGCCTCCTCGTTTGAGTGTCCGAGCGGCAGGCGTCGGGCACTACGCGCATGGCCCGAGGGTTCATTGAAATCCGGTATATCCCGAGTATAAGCGGATGCATCACAAGGTTTAGTGCCGAGCAAATCAGCTCCGTATACGCGCACGTGCCCTCGTTTCCAAGCACAGGGATTTGAAAGATGCGAGAACGAGACGAGAGCGCAAGACCGTCATCTCGTGCGGGACTATTGACGCCGAACGCTAGGTATACGCTGCTCCGCCCGCTCTAGCTACTCCCGCTCTGGACTGTCCTCCCGCCACTCATCCGAAGAAACGCACAGAGACCTGCGTCGAAGGGGGGGGGGGGGGAAAAGAAGTGGGCGAAACCATCACATTCAAGATAGGCGAAGTGAGATTCAGGGGCGCTGTGCTGGCTGCTTCCGAAGGCGTTCGCCGTAGATTTAGGTAAGCTTTTGTCGATTGCACCTCGCTCGCTGATCCCCACCCCCTTATTTTGCGCGCGGTGGTGTGTGGCGGCGGCCGTGAGCTGCCTGCCTGGCTATCTAGTATGTACATGGCAAGGAGGGAGATGGCTCAAAACACAACACAGAAACTGTCTTATGAAAAAGAAAATCAAGATATCAGTTATTTTTGATGATCAACATGGGAGGAAGGGGAGGTACAGTGTACAGATCAGTGTTTTGCGCGGATACTTTCCTACATGAATGCTGTTGACTTGTTGAAATCAACAGACAAAACAAGGTTTCAGATCATGTTTCAGGTTACTTGTTAGCTCACGAGGTTCATATGAGAAATCAGGAACCTCGTACTATCCCATCTGAGCGGCGTCAATCGAATCAGCTATGCACTAATTCAATATATAATGGTAGATGCGGGCCGAGGTGACTACGCGTGGTATGGTGCCGAGGCTCCTGAGCTGTCGGCGTCCCGTCGCCGCGAGGGCGCGACTAGGGAGCCCGAGCACTCTACAACGCTAGTTACCAGTGGCGACGCGTCTACCAGGTTTAGATCCATTCAAACTGTGTGCAAGATATGGCCACGCCAGGCGAGCTTGTTCAGTCGACGAGATACTAGCTTGTCTAGAACGATGAGACTCCGAGAGGAACTCTGACATACTCATGCTCGCGCGATCCAATCCGCGAACGCTCTGCATAATACTGCGCGTAGAGTGGGCGAGCCCTTTTCCGTCGAGCATCGGCGGACGACGAGGAGTGCTGTCGTAACTTCGCCTTCCGTTTCAGGCTCCTCCGCTGCAGCTGCAACCTCAGCTCGAGTCTCTTACCTATCGCGTCTCCCAAAAGCTGGCCTCGCTCCCCAATAAAAGAATCCCGTCGCCGGGCAGCTGGATCTCTGGAAAGTAGATCCCGCGTTTGTGACATGAAATTGCGCGATTTTCAAATCAAATCACCGTGATCTAATTGAGGTTAGTCAGTCCTTCCAATCGTGCACTCACTTAAAGTACGAAAAATTTAGGCCACCTTACAGCATAATCTAGGCCACCCCCGTTCTTTTACAGTAACTACTGAGGTGGTTGCACTGCACTCTCCAGCTATAGGCAAGGTATTCAGGATGGTTTGTTAGTCCGCCCTTCCGTTCGTGTACTCACTAAAAGTACGAAAGATTTAGGCCACCTTACCAGCATATGCATAATACAAAATCTAGGTCATCCCGTTTTTTACAGTAACTACTGAGGGTGGGTTGCACTGCACTCTCCAGCTATAGGCAAGGTATTCAGGATGGTTTGTTAGTCCGCCCTTCTGTTAGCGTACTCACAAAAAGTACAAACGATTTAGGCCACCTTACAGCATATTATGCATAATACAAAATCTAGGTCATCCCATTTTTTACAGTAACTACTGAGGGTGGGTTGCACTGCACTCTCCAGCTATAGTCAAGGTACTCAGGATGGTTTGTTAGTCCGCCCTTCCGTTAGCGTACTCACAAAAAGTACGAACAATTTAGCCCACCTTACCAGCATAATTATGCATACAAAATCTAGGTCATCCCATTTTTTACAGTAACTATTGAGGGTGGCTTGCACTGCACTCTCCAGCTATAGGCAAGGTATTCAGGGTGGTTTGTTAGTCCACCCCTCCGTTCGTGTACTCACTAAAAGTACAAAAGATTTAGGCCACCCTACCAGCATATTCCAGGCCACCCCGTTTTTACAGTAACTATTGAGGGTGGGTTGCACTGCATGCCCTCTCCAGCTATAGTCAAGGAATTCAGGATGGTTTGTTAGTCCGCCCTTCCGTTAGTGTACTCACAAAAAGTACGAACAATTTAGCCCACCTTACCAGCATAATTTGCATACAAAATCTAGGTCATCCCATTTTTTACAGTAACTATTGAGGGTGGCTTGCACTGCACTCTCCAGCTATAGTCAAGGTATTCAGGATGGTTTGTTAGTCCGCCCTTCCGTTCGTGTACTCACAAAAAGTACAAAAGATTTAGGCCACCTTACCAGCATAATCTAGGTCACCCCCGTTTTTACAGTAACTATTGAGGGTGGGTTGCACTGCACTCTCCAGCTATAGTCAAGGTATTCAGGATGGTTTGTTAGTCCGCCCTTCCGTTAGTGTACTCACTAAAAGTACGAACAATTTAGCCCACCTTACCAGCATATGCATAATACAAAATCTAGGTCATCCCATTTTTACAGTAACTACTGAGGGTGGCTTGCACTGCACTCTCCAGCTATAGTCAAGGTATTCAGGATGGTTTGTTAGTCCGCCTTCCGTTCGTGTACTCACAAAAGTACAAGAGATTTAGGCCACCTACCAGCATATCAAAATCTAGGTCATCCCCGTTTTTTACAGTAACTATTGAGGGTGGGTTGCACTGCACTCTCCAGCTATAGTCAAGGTATTCAGGATGGTTTGTTAGTCCGCCCTTCCGTTAGCGTACTCACAAAAAGTACAAAAGATTTAGGCCACCTTACCAGCATATGCAAATCTAGGTCATCCCATTTTTTACAGTAACTACTGAGGGTGGCTTGCACTGCACTCTCCAGCTATAGTCAAGGTATTCAGGATGTTTTGTTAGCCTTTGCTTCCATTTGTGTACTCACTAAAAGTACAAAAGATTTAGGCCACCCTACCAGCATAATCCAGGCCACCCCGTTTTTTACAGTAACTATTGACTATTGCACTGCACTCTCCAGCTATAGGCAAGGTATTCAGGATGGTTTGTTAGTCCGCCCTTTTGTTAGCGTACTCACAAAAAGTACAAAAGATTTAGCCCACCTTACCAGCATATGCAAATTCTAGGTCATCCCATTTTTTACAGTAACTACTGAGGGTGGCTTGCACTGCACTCTCCAGCTATAGTCAAGGTATTCAGGATGTTTTGTTAGCCTTTGCTTCCATTTGTGTACTCACTAAAAGTACAAAAGATTTAGGCCACCCTACCAGCATAATCCAGGCCACCCCGTTTTTTACAGTACTTTGATTGCACTGCACTCTCCAGCTATAGGCAAGGTATTCAGGATGGTTTGTTAGTCCGCCCTTTTGTTAGCGTACTCACAAAAAGTACAAAAGATTTAGCCCACCTTACCAGCATATGCAAAATCTAGGTCATCCCATTTTTACAGTAACTACTGAGGGTGGCTTGCACTGCACTCTCCAGCTATAGTCAAGGTATTCAGGATGGTTTGTTAGTCCGCCCTTCCGTTCGTGTACTCACAGAAAGTACGAAAGGTTTAGGCCACCTTACCAGCATATACATACATGTCTCACGTGCAAATTGAGTATCAGACAATGACAACAAAGGTATATACTGCAAACCGTAATGGTTTATGCAACACAAAATGGAATTAAACACTTCGCCCTCATGCTGTGTGGGCAAGTGTGTCTCTTGACCAGCACTTGGACATGGGTTAGTCGATCCTAAGGGGAGGGAGAGATCCCCCTGGAAGGTGCAATCGCCCCCGGCGACGGCGGCGTTCTCACGTTCTTTTGCATTCCTGGTGGTTTGGACAACAGAGTAGTATTGTACAGGTCTAAGACATTGCATATTATTATTAAATGGTGGTTTCTGACTTCCTGACATTTCTATTAGATTAAGCAGTGTTTGGGGTCATAGCTTTACCTCACATCCTGCCTTGAGAAAATCGGATATCTTGGTGACTCCGACATAGTAGGCCACGTGAGGCTTTCCCGTAGTGGCAGTACCCCAGTAGATACGAACCCTGTGACCTTCCTTGAGGAGAGCCTCCAATCTATCCTCTCCTAAAACCTCCTGCACAGAAGGGTTCATAGGTGTATAAAAGGTTTTGTGTAGTTTGATGCAAATCCTCGATCATTAGCTACCTTTTAGTGCATAAATCTAGGCAATTCGCACTCCCAATTCACGCTGAGTGTACACGGAGAGAAAGTGGATCAGCTATATTCGCCACCGAGAAAGTTGTGGACGAGTGATATGCTATGTCCCTTCTACTCGAATAATAGGTCTACGCTCGTTCGCGTGTCACTGTCTGAGACCTGAAGGTTCCTGGTTATCAGCTCCTTCTTTTTCTCGGGAGAAAGCTCCTCTGCTGGTGTCGCCATGGACAGATGATCATCACCACGGTTGACAGCGCCCACACGTGGTTTTTCGCACATGCGCAGTTTGTCCGAAACTCCGCCCCTCTGATGATGACATCAGCAATTTTCCGCGCGCACGCGCAGTTCGGTCGGGCGATCGCGCCACACACTCGACTCTCTCGCACGCAGCTTCCACGCCCTAACTTCAGCACCAGTCACTTTTGCTTACCTCCTACTACACCGCGGCAACAGTGGATCCTCCAGCACGATGCTCGGCGAGATTCTGCAGTGGATAAAGAGACGGAAAGTAGTGGTTCTCGTATTGGTGTTCAGCTTCATCGTCAGCGGTCTAATCATCAATGTTCTAGAGTTCGCCACCTTACCCCTGTACTTTATCAACAAGAAATGGTTCCGGATCATCAACACAAAGATTGTCTATCTCCACTGGTGTGGTGAGTTCATGGAGCAAAAGAGAGGGAGAGAGAGAGAGAGAGGAACAAGAATAGGGAATTGGAGGGAGAGTTAAAGGGATAGGGGTAAAGTGAAGAGGAAGGGAGGGTGGAGAGAGAAAGAGGAAGAGAACGAAAGAAGAGAGAGGGAGGAAAATGAGGGTGGGTGAAGTGAGAAACAAGAGAGGGAGAGAGAAATTATCTTTTCCATGCAGTGATACCGTGGGCCCTGGAGAGCTGGGCAAACTCCACGGTTGACGCGTACGTGGACGAGAGTGTGCCGGACCCACAGAACATGATCAACAAGGAGCACGCCATAATCACCATGAACCATCCCGGAGACCTGGACTGGATGTTTGGTTGGGTCGTCATCAATAAATGCGGCAGGCTTGGAGTAAGTCCTCCTATATAGGTCTTTAATGGTGACTGGAATATAACCCATTTGTATTTTGATAATGGTGGAGGATGCCTCTCTTTGATTTCATGATCGATCCCTGTGTATATGATAGGGGCAATACTTAATAATATTGTGTATTACAAGTGCCAGTTTATGCTATTGGTTCTTAACCAATGCGGGGACACCCTAATTCTGGAGTCCCCCTACTTTTAGGTGCAGTATTAATTGTTACACTGTCAAAACAGTTTGTACCATTCTTAGAGTAACCTTTCAGTATATACAATACTCAAGCGTTGACCTACACAGGCTATACAGTATGTATGAACTTGACCTAAGCCAACAACACTATTTCTTCCTCGCTGCCTCCTCCAATGTATGTAGGGTACCAAAGCCATAATGAAAGACGTGGCTAAGTACCTGCCGGGGATCGGATGGACCTTCCTCTTCATGGAGTACCCTCTGCTGAAGAGAGATTGGACCCACGACCAGAGCTGCCTCGTCAAGGCCTGCGAAAATCTCAAAGACTACCCCGTCAACATGCTGGTCAGAATGTGTGCCTTTGTTTTGGATGTGTGTGCATCCAGTTCTCTCTGTTTCAGTATAAACATTCATTCCCCCCCAATTCTCTCTTTCTTTCTTTAATCTCTCCCTCTCTCCCTTTCTACACAGTTGTGTCTATTTGCAGAGGGTACAAGGTTCACAAAGGAAAAGCACCGATTGAGCATGGACTTTGCCCGTTCTCGTGGCTACCCTGTCCTCAAACATCACCTGTTCCCCAGGACCAAGGGGTTCTGTCTCCTCATGAAACATCTCAGACAGACAGGTGGGACCATACCTGTAATTAATGTGTAATCCAACTTGCTCTAGTATTTGTGTATAATTATACATACAAATGTATGTCTATTGAGGTCTCAGGTAGAAATTTTGTATTAAACAATTGTGTTTTTATACAGTTCCTGCAATTTATGACATCACCATTGTATCTCGCGGGGACGATCCTTCGTTATTGGACGTCATCAACGCAAAGCCTTCAGCTGCCGATGTCCTAATCAGGTGAGTAGAAATGTTCTGAGTCAGCCACTGACACTGCCAAAACATGATTCCAACTGCATTTTTGGAAGGTTTCCTTAAGTATATAGTATATGCATGTGAAAACTACGAGGTAGAAAGGCAAAGGCACAACAAACTACATGTACAGTTGCTTTTAGTTCTCCCATTCGTTTTCTTTCACGGGTATCTTTGTGGCTTTGTATATCACCGTGGCGAATCCATGAACCCATTTGTTGTGTATTGGTGACTATAGTGTGTGCTGAGTTTGTGTTAAAGTTCCACTCCACCCTCCCTCAGACGGTTCCTAACGGCAGATCTACCAGAGAGTGACTCTGACCTGGCCGAGTGGCTCATCAACCTCTACAAGGAAAAGGTACATATGCTGTCACCACCTGCTCTTTAGACACCCAATTCACCATTCACAATGCATTAAAACCGGAGCCCCAGCTACATATGTACATACAACATCACTGGAAAGAGGATATTCTGGGGTTCAATTTACTCTGAAAAGAGCTTCTATTTTTTGCCCGGTGGTCCAGTGAATTTTTTTTACTTCATCTCACTTCCTCTCCTGAGCATCAGTGCAGTATAATGTACCTCCAAATAGAGGACACTACTCTAAAAAAAGGACACTTTGTTCTGCTCCATACTACATTCCCTCAGATGCCAACACTTATGTGCTCAAATAAGGACACTTGCATTGTCCCCAAGGTATCCAATATTTAGAAATTCCACTGCGTACTACAGGATGACCTGGTGGATTACCACATCAAGAACGAGAGGTTCCCGGGCCGCGTGAAGAAGGTTGACCTCCCGACAACCTATTTGCCGGACATCATTGTCCTGATGTGGGTGTGTCTTCTCGGAGTCCCGGCCGTGTTCACCGCACTCTACCTGGCCTGGGCTGGAGCCTGGCTTACTCTCGGAGTCATCCTCGCAGCCATCTTTGTCGGTATGCAGCTGTCAACTTCTTGTGTCCTTTTTACTGCGATGTCAATCTACACAGTCTACGTATGTCTACAGTTGTAACCTCTGAAAACATCCCCTCCCAATAAGGGACACCTCTCTAGAGCATGCTTGGTTCTGGCTCATACTAATACATCTGACTAAGAGACATTATAGATAGTTTCAATGTCTTCAAGGTGTCCCTCAATTAGAGTTTTCACTGTATACAGTACGCTTCTGTTTTCATCCCATGCAGCTGACCAGTTGTTCCAGTACCTAGCCAACGAGACAGTTACTGAGAAGTCCGCCTCATCGTATGGCCTTCAATCCTCCCCCACCTCCTCTTCCTCCTCCACCACCACCACCACCAACACAGCGTCTACTACTGCTGCTACTGCCGAGGACCTCAATAGAACAACACCAGGGAATGCTACTACATCCCCAGAGGGCAACAAATCCTCCTCAGAGACTAAAAAGGATCAATAGTCTTGGGTTCTGTTTAGTATGTTGTTGTGTTCTATGATCGAGTTTGTGACGCTTGCTGAATAAGCACATGCGGTTACTTTACATTATATATGCGCATGCGCACTAAACTATACAGGATAACCCGGTCGACCCTCGCCGACTGACCTTCTCTCGTTGTCTAGGAAAATCACTAGCAAAAAGATGTGGTGGTCTAGGTGGAGATGGCGTGGCAGTAGTGCCGCCGTGGTAACGAGCCTGAGCTCCCTGGGACTATGTGAGAGGTGTAGCCGTGCCCTGGAGGCGGCCGGGGTCCCGGTCCGACGCCGGCACTGGGATATAAAGACCGACTACGAGGGTCTGGTGGCAGCCGGAGTCCCGGTCCGGCGCCGGCACTGGGATATAAAGACCGACTACGAGGGTCTGGTGGCAGCCGAGGAGTTGACTTTCGACCCACAGCAACAGAATTCGGTGGAGCAGCTCCAGCGGCTACAGTTGAAGTTGGCTGGGTACGAGCCACCTCCTCCGCCCAGCTTTCTAGGCAAGGTTTGGCACACGTACACGTACCATGGGCTACACATTATCCAAGAGCCAGTAGATAGCTATTTTACCTCGTGGAACAAATCTCTACAGCGAGCCTTAGTTGTCTGCCGAATGCACAGGTCATTGGGAATCACCTGTAAAGCTGTAGTATCACATAATAGTCACAAAACAAATACACACTTTATGTAAATCATCAGTGCTGACAATCAATACAACACTAGGCCGTATACTGTAGCACTTCCCATGAAACACTTCCTTGGAATGATGACTGTAATCGAATACCTATACATACACCGCATTATTCAGATGTTTGGAGGCGGGGACAGGAAGAGTGGGAGGATAAAGGGACTCTACATGCACGGCTCTGTTGGTAAGCAATGCTCCGATTCACAGGCACACAATGAGTTGACAGCCAAAATACAGTTGTCATGCTAATGGTTGAGTACAGAAACAGTAGTGATGTATTGCTAGCAAGCTCAACCGTCTTAATTGCATGTTTTTCCACCATATGATGTTGTCATACTAGATAGCGTATAGGTAAAAGTAACTAGTATCATGCTCCATAGATTGACCACCTTCTCATGTTAGCAATCATAAAAGCATCTTGCATTCTTCCTGAAGGTGCTGGTAAGACAATGTTGATGGATCTGTTCTACAAGAGAGCAGCAGTGGCCAGAAAGAGAAGAGTACACTTCAACTCATTCATGCTCGACATCCACGACAGTAGGTCCACCATTTTATTACATCTCTCTCTCTCTCTCCCGTCTAAAACTTAGCCCTGGAGATCATTCCCCCCTCCCTTCTTCTTTTCCCCTTCTCTCCCTTCCCACTCTCCTTCTCTATACATACACCCCTGTAATTATTTTTTTATCGCCATTTTCATTCAGTATTCCTGCCCTCTCTCCCTTGCTTTTATCAGTCGCCATTCTTCCCTCTCTCTCTCTTACTTTCCCGCTCTCTCCCATCCTTCTACAATCCCCCCCGTGTAATGGAGTGATATTAATGGAACAATATGTGGCAATAATAGTGCCTCTAATTACAGGGATCCACCAGTTCAAGAAAGCTCTTCCCCGCTCCTCCGGTCGTGAGAGACCACATGCCTATGACCCTATAGCCCCCGTGGCTAGAGACGTGGCCTCCGACAGTCACCTCCTCTGTTTCGATGAGTTCCAGGTGACATACAGTACCTCTACAATAGAAAGAACAGTCTTTACTTTCCAATTGTGCTCTGAGTATAGTTGGCGAGCAAAACGAGTCTACCTATTCGTCTGAATGTGGGATTTTCCCTTATGAAACCTACGATAGCAAGCACATACTGTACTAATCTAAATGCATGGGAAGCATTCTAATTATTAGCGAAACAGTGCGAAAAATTGAACTACTCTCTTCTCTCCCCAATACATTCGATTAGCATTATGTATTGCAATGGCAGGGGTCGAGTTAGCCATCAAACGAAGGGAAATACCAATTGCCACACATTATCTCCATAAGACCACTATTATGTTCATCTTGCTTTAGCTAAGAAAAAGTACAGTGGGGCATTGTTGTCACAATTCTCGCATAATCTACGTGCATGACCAATGCAAATCACACATAATGAACAAAATTCTTCCACACCTCTTTCATACTCTCTCTATATACCCACCCTGGTGTGTTCGCAGGTGACAGACATCGCTGATGCGATGATACTCAAGAGGCTATTCACAGCTCTGTTTGAGAATGGAGTTGTGATGATTGCCACCTCCAACAGACCACCTGACGGTCAGCCAGCACTCATGCTAGCAGTATACAGTGGAACCTCCGATAAGGGACCCTCCGAGATAGGGACAACCTCTCTACAAAGGACACTTGTTTCAACCCCATACGGGAATTAAGGGGGGACACCAGATTTGGGCGAGATAGAAGATGGTACCATTCCATACTCCAACTGTAGCAAAAGTATTAAGGATAGTTGGTTTGTCTATTCTTCTACTCATGTGCCTACAAAAAATGCTAAGTGGTTGACACACTCATGTAGAGGAAGACGCGAAATTTGGGCGAGATAGGGATAGGTGCAGAGAGATAGAAGATGGTACCATTCCATACTCCGACTGTAGTCAAAGTATTAAGAATAGTTGGTTTGTCTCTTTTTCAACTTTTGTGCCTACAAAAAATGCTAAATCGTTGACACCCTTCTTTAAGGGGGGACAGCGAAATTTGGGGCGAGATAGGGATAGGTGCAGCGAGATAGAAGATGGTACCATTCCATACTCCAACTGTAGCAAAAGTATTAAGGATAGTTGGTTTGTCTCTTTTTCCACTCTTGTGCCTACAAAAAATGCTAAATCGTTATTCTGGTGTCCCCCCTTAAAGAAGGGTGTATTTGGGCGAGATAGGGATAGGTGCAGCGAGATAGAAGATGGTACCATTCCATACTCCAACTGTAGCAAAAGTATAAGGATAGTTGGTTTGTCTCTTCTTCTACTCATGCTGAATCGTTGTGACACTCATGTAGGGGAGGACGCGAAATTTGGGCGAGATAGGGATAGGTTCAGCGAGATAGAAGATGGTACCTTTCCATACTCCAACTGTAGCAAAAGTATTAAGGATAGTTGGTTTGTCTCTTCTTCTACTCTTGTGTCTACAAAAAATGCTAAATCGTTGACACACATGTAGGGGAGGACGCGAAATTGGGCGAGATGGGGAATGGTGCAGTGAGATAGAAGATGTTACCATTCCATACTCCGACTGTAGCAAAAGTATTAAGGATAGTTGGTTTGTCTCTTTTTCCACTCTTGTGCCTACAAAAAATGATAAATCGTTGACACCCTTCTTTAAGGGGGGGCACCGGAATTTGGGCGAGATAGGGATAGGTGCAGCGAGATAGAAGATGGTACCATTCCATACTCCAAACTGTAGCAAAAGTGTTATCGATAGTTGGTTTGTCTCCTTTTCTACTCAAGTGTCTGCAAAAGATACTAAATCGTTGACACACTCATGTAGGGAAGGACGCGAAATTTGGGCGAGATAGGGATAGGTGCAGCAAGATAGAAGATGTTACCATTCCATACTCCAACTGTAGTCAAAGTATTAAGGATAGTTGCTTTGTCTCTTTTTCCACTTTTGTGCCTACAAAAAATGCTAAATCGTTGACACACTCATGTTGGGGAGGACGCGAAATTTGGGCGAGATGGGGTGCAGCGAGTAAGAAATTTCACACAAGCACCATTGGAACATTGGGCAATTGAGATGACTAGGTGGGCTCGCTCTGCTTCCAGTGATGTACATAGTGAGTTGTGTACTTATTATGAAAGTCCCAGTGAACATTTCTATGGCGTATGATTCAGCTAAACCGCAGTGATCACATTCAGTAGCCTAATATTAGTGTTTTGGTGTCTGAATTAACTACAGATCTTTACAAAAATGGATTACAGAGAAGCAACTTTCTACCCTTCATTGACATACTGAAGGTAAGTCATATACAACTGCAGAGAATAGTGTGCTAATAACGAAGAAGATTACCGGGGGCTCTGTCAATATCTCCCAGAGACATTGCGATGTTCTCCAGCTAGACTCAGGTGTTGACTACAGACAACCGGCAGTCTCAACGGCAGGCAATGTCTTTATCGCGTGAGTCCTATACCTACCTATGTACTCGTGCGATATTAATCATTGTGACAAAGTGAGTCAACCAAGGCATCGTGGGTTTTCGGTTCTGACAATACCGCAATTAAATGTTTGTAAAAAAGACAATTTGGTGTCAATTCCTGCATGTACAAAGTTATAGTATGAGATGATCCAAGGGGTATATGATATGCTACCTTGCAGGCCAAATACCGTCAATGCTAACAGGAAACTAGTGGAGGTGTTTGAAGACATGGCACACGAACAGGGAATTGGTACGTCAAATCCTCTTACCTAGGGTGTTGTGTGTCTTGTATTATTAGTCATATTGTATCACTGCCTTCAGCACGGGCATGTTGGTCGCTCTCCCTATCGCAGTGTCTTGTATTATTAGTCATATTGTATCACTGCCTTCAGCATGGGCATGTTGGTCGCTCTCCCTATCGCAGTGTCTTGTATTATTAGTCATATTGTATCACTGCCTTCAGCATGGGCATGTTGGTCGCTCTCCCTATCGCAGTGTCTTGTATTATTAGTCATATTGTATCACTGCCTTCAGCATGGGCATGTTGGTCGCTCTCCCTATCGCAGTGTCTTGTATTATTAGTCATATTGTATCACTGCCTTCAGCATGGGCATGTTGGTCGCTCTCCCTATCGCAGTGTCTTGTATTATTAGTCATATTGTATCACTGCCTTCAGCATGGGCATGTTGGTCGCTCTCCCTATCGCAGTGTCTTGTATTATTAGTCATATTGTATCACTGCCTTCAGCACGGGCATGTTGGTCGCTCTCCCTATCGCAGTGTTGTTCTAATTTGCCGAGCGAAACAAGCCTACTTACATAGCAGTCTGAATGTGAGATTTTCTTGCCTACATACCATATTATTTCAGCCTAGTTTCTTCCTACATGAAAAGTAAGCTAGCTTTCAAAAATTATTGCCACTAGCAGTAAAGCTACGATTTGTATATAAAACAGCTGAAATTTCGAACTTGCACTCGTTCACTATACTTACCCCCTCTCTCCCTCAGAGCCGGCTCTGAGAATTCTGCGAGTGTTGGGTAGAGATCTAGTGGTTCCCAGAGCAGCCGGTTCAGCAGCCTTCTTCACCTTCACTGACCTCTGTGACAAGGTGAGAAGTAGTCAGTAGTCTGAACAGTGTCTGTGGTAAAGTGCTTCAGGGAAGTAATATTTGGCAGTAGAATGCAAAAATGAGGTAAAAAGGTATTTTCCTAAACTCCACTATTGCTGGTATATATACAAAAAGCATGACTATTGTATAACCTAGTGTTTACAAGAAAGGTTTTAATACCTTATTCAACAAAAGGTGAATATCATACCACTGTTCTATTCTACCTGCTTGCTCGACTGTCATTCACCTCACTTTATGTATTAGCCCCTAGGTGCAGCAGACTATCTGGAGCTCTGCCGGAACTTCACGACTCTCTTTGTCCAGGACATTCCCCAGCTCACACTCAACCTCCGCACACAGACACGCAGATTCATCACTCTCATTGATAACCTCTATGATTGCAGGGTCAGACCCTTTTTTACACGTCTATCATTATGTGGGAGAAGATTTCTGTTTTAGGTCAACGACCGCTGTACTATAATAAAACTGTATTTGTTCTCTGGGGCGATTTGCATTATGATCTACATATATAAACACTTCAGAACCAAGAAATCGGTGATAATAGGTATTAGTTAACGTATAGGCGGCGAGGCGGTACAGGAGATACTCCGAAGCTGTTGACTATACCGGACGAGGGCGTAGCCCGAGGTGTGGTGTAGTTAACAGCCGAGGAGGATTTCCTGTACGCGGCAAGACGCCTGACGTTAACTGATTTGTAGTCCAACTAGCCAATCACAATGCTGAATTTCTGCTGCGTCATCTTGCACTAATGTACTAGTGGCTGTTGTGTAAACTTTGGAAGCCAGACAATTTGCACTACGCCTAGCGCTAGATGTTGTGATAAGAACTTCCTGTCCAATACTGATACCCGTGCAGCCCGCAGCCCACAGCTCAGAATACAGCGTATATTCCTAGCACCGGGTTGTTTGAAGTTGGACTACAAGTAGTTTTATTGACAACTAGAACAATATACTTTCTCTAAGTCTACGTATAGCAAGATCTTTCTGTTTAAAAACTGAGAGCTTCCAAACAGACGTATCGTTAATGATTTGATGCACAAGCAGTCTCTGTTAAATCCCTGTTTCAGGTGAAGATGGTATGCACAGCAGAGGTGCCCATCTCCCAACTCTTCCTCTCTTCAAACCTCATCAGAATCGAGGACAGTGATGAGGCCAGGATACTGGCTGACGACCTCAGTATTGGCGAGGTAATGACGAATAGAACTAGAGACAGCACTGGTTAACGGAGAAGAAATTGTGGTGTAATGAGGCTAACAAGTGAATCTAAGTGAAACCTCAACATACTATAGACCTCTAGAGCTTTAAAATGTACATTAGCACTGGATAAAAAAGTATAGAGATGTGTCATTTTATTCTTATAAGAATTAGTATACGACACAGCATGTCCCCAACCTGAGACTGCATGAGAGGTGGGCAAGTCAGCGTTTCGCGCACTGTGTTAACAGCAGAGGACATGAACAGTAAAATAATGGAGCTATGACACTCCTGGGTTGCAGTCTGGTGTTACTTCTGATGCCTCTACAGTACGGAATGTGGAAATAAAATACACCAACATATTAGTGTGGGTATGCACAAATTAATGTTAGAGTCACTTGACATGATTACAAGACCTTTGACGGTCACTCATAACAAAGTGCTGTACTTCATCTTGGTTTGCTAATTAATTATTAACTCGCTCACAGGATCACGGACTGGAGGCCAGCATCTTCACTGGAGAGGAAGAGGTGTTTGCCTTTGAAAGAACCATCTCTAGACTCAAAGAGATGCAAGGAGACGACTACTGGAACATTAGGGACAGCGACCACAGTTCCATGGCTGCCAAGAAAACTAATAGCTAGTACATTTTTATGACTGTCCTCTCTGTATATTTATTGACCCAAGATCTCATATCCAGTCACATTGGGTTGTAATGCAAGCGCTATATAGGATTTTAAGAATGTTGATGAACACCACTCCAGGCCAGAAACAGCAGCAGGTGATGCAAAATTGCTGCAAACTATAATTTTGCTGAGTTGATTAGGCTGACTATGACTCCGCTGAATGCTGAAGATCCTCTGTCTAAACTTCCTGACTGCTGAGACAGAAGCTTAATGACTACTGCCGCTGAGACGACTGATACTATTCTGACTGAAAGATCCTATATAACTTCACCTGAAGCTGGATAGACAGTTTCACTAAAGAGACTGGCTTGGACTGTCCAAGAGGCCACCCTCTGCTGAGTCAAGAGAATCTGTCAGGATGCCAATGAAAGCTGAAGAAGAAGTTCTGGACCTGACTATAGCAATACTCTGTAGCTATATATAATGCCGAAGATACAATAATGGCAAAGAAAGTTGTTGACTTATCCCACAGGCATATTGGGTTGTATACTTGCGCATGCGCAGGTAGGGCCTCAGAGTATATACGTACGTGTAGCTATCTACCCCGGACGCTGTTACAGCGCGTGAACTTTTGGGAGGCGCTTTGCAACCCCCCTCACACCCTCTCCCTGGATCCGCCCCTGCATCCACACACATAAATTATATGTAGCTTTTTTGCGCATGTGCTTGTGCTCGCGCATATGTAGGGGAGCCGAGCCCCGCCCTCGTTGTTTACGTAATTATTCATCTTTGCCACGAGTATGAAGGGGACCAAGCTTGTATTTCTCTTTGTCTGGCGTAAGTTCATTCGATCACTTTTGGTTTGTTTTCTCCACGTTTTTGCACGTCCGTAGTTTAAGATCCTGCTTCTCTCTCTCGAGAGAGAGACTGTTTCGGGGGTTTGCTTGTTCTTAGCTTTTAGAGCTAACAGAAATTTTTACAGTGACTATAGCTAGCTGTACTTCGTTGAAATCCCCAGGAGTAGCTACTATTAGCTAACCATGCGCTAATGTGTATGGCAATAGCTAAACATCAGAGGTATTCCTCCTCTCTCCACCAGTCTCCACCACCAGTGCCCAGACACCCACTGACTCCACACAAGACTCCTGCTCTTCTGTCTACAGCTACGTCCAGTCACATCCCAGCTGCTCCATTTATGATTACGATGCTCACGAGGGAGGGTGTTCAGGATTCTACTGCTCATGGAACAGTTCCTTTATCGAAGTTTATGTGGAGGAATGTCAAGATCAAGTCTCAGTTGCAGTCCACTATGACAGCTATTATCCAGACTATGTTGAGTTTCAGTATGTCTACAACCAGAGTGAGATAGTGGACAATTATGGCCAAGGAGACACTGGCAGATACAGTGGGATACTGGCTAGAAATGCCAGCCACCTTGGATTTGAGGTAAAATTACTAGAAGCTATATATATTCCACATTCAGACGACTAGGTCTGGTGGGCTGGCTTCGCTCGCCAATTATGCGTTAAGGGCATTCCATGTGGAACATGCACAGCCAGACATTCCCATGGCGATTTAACATCATATTATATGTGTAGGTATGAATGTGCTGAATAATGTATAGAGGGGGCACATTCCCAAATCCCAAATGCAAAAATGTCTTTTTAATATCTTGAAGTCAATAAGGAGAGAAGCACAAATAAACTATGTGTTGTAAATCACAAGCTTGCTTGTAGTTACCCTTTATTACCCTCGGCGCGCATGCGCAGCGAGGGTACTGTAGTTGGGTGTGTGTGTGTGTGTGTGTGTCTGTTACTCTCAATCTCACTTCTCGAATGTCTGTTCGTCCCAGAAACGCTACCATCTACCCAACGGGCGACGAAGGTCAGAAAATATGTGGGGTTTTCTCTGAAAATGCTCCGTTGCAGAGCTAGAGCGCTTCCACCATTGTACGGCTAATGCGTAGTCGGCCATTTTTATCGCTGCGGAAAATGCGCATGCGCTTATAACCTCGACCGGGTCGTCCGCTTGCTCTGTGTATCTTGAAGGCACAAGAAGTCACAACGAAGGGCGTGTATCGACTCTCGCATACTATCTACTACTGTAGCTAGCCCGTGTCAGACTCTCTGCGAGCTACTAGCGGGAGATCACGAGTAAACGCATACTAATAGCAGCCCAGCCCATCAATTAGCGGTACCGCGCATCCCCAGTTCGCCGAGGGTTTGCACTTTAGTGCTACCTCGGCGCGCATGCGCAGCGAGGGTACTGTAGTTGGGTTTGTCTGTCTGTCTGTTACTCTCAATCTCACTTCTCGAATGTCTGTTCGTCTCACAAACGATACGACCTACTTAACGGGCAATGAAGGTCAGAAAATAAAGGCGGTTTTCTCTGAAAATGCTCCGTTGCAAAGCTAGAGCGCTTCCGGCATTCTGCGGCTAATGCGTAGTCGGCCATTTTATCGCTGCGGAAAACGCGCATGCGCTTATATTTTCAACAGGCTTTTATTTAACCTCGACCGGGTCCGCTTGCTCTGTGTATCTTGAAGGCACAAGAAGTCATAACGAAGGGCGTGTATCGACTCTCGCATATTATCTACTACTGTAGCTAGCCCGTGTCAGACTCTCTGTGAGCTACTAGCGGGTGACCGCGAGTAAACGCATACTAATAGCAGCCCAGCCCATCAATTAGCGGTACCGCGCATCCCCAGTTCGCCGAGGGTTTGCACTTTAGTGCTTTTTATTACCCTCGGCGCGCATGCGCAGCGAGGGTACTGTAGTTGGGTGTGTTGTCTGTGTCTGTCTGTTACTCTCAATCTCACTTCTCGAATGTCTGTTCGTCCCAGAAACGATACAATCTACCCAACGGGCGACGAAGGTCAGAAAATAAAGGCGGTTTTCTCTGAAAATGCTCCATTGCAAAGCTAGAGCGCTTCCGGCATTCTGCGGCTAATGCGTAGTCGGCCATTTTTATCGCTGCGGAAAACGCGCATGCGCTTATATACCTCGACCGAGTCCGCTTGCTCTGTGTATCTTGAAGGCACAAGAAGTCACAACGAAGGGCGTGTATCGACCTCGCTATTCTACTACTGTAGCTAGCTACCGTGTCAGACTCTCTGCGAGCTACTAGCGGAGACCACGAGTAAACGCATACTAATAGCAGCCCAGCCCATCAATTAGCGGTACCGCGCATCCCAGTTCGCCGAGGGTTTGCACTTTAGTGCTTTTCATTGGGTTCTGTCTGTGTGTGTGTGTCTGTCTGTTACTCTACATCTCACTTCTCGAACGTCTGTTCGTCCCAGAAACGATACCATCTACCCAACGGGCGACAAAGGTCAGAAAATAAAGACGGTTTTCTCTGAAAATGCTCCGTTGCTAAGCTAGAGCGGGAAAAAGCTAATATGCAAATACGCAACGGACGAGATGGCTTACCACAGTCGGATCGATCCGCGTGCTCTGCGTACTTCGGAGGCACCAGAAGGTGCAACGCAGGGCCTCTCGCATACTATCTAGTAGTGTAGTTAGCCCGCGTCAGACTCTGCGCGAGCTGGCAAGAGACAACTAAACCCAGCCCATCAATTAGTGGTACTGCGCATGCGTTTACTTACGCGTGCGCGTCACAGTGCGCCGAGGGTTTGCACTTCAGTGCTTTTCATCTTTCCCTGTTTCTCTCTCCCTCCCTCCATCCTTTCTCCCTCCATTCCCAAAAGCTCAATCTAGACAGAGATGGGGAAGTGGGGGAAATACTCGTGGACCCAGTATACTTTCCTCTGCTCCCAGGAGAGTTTATGTGTGACTCCATGCAGGCAGTGGCTGAGGACATGGACTTGTTGGTATCGTCCTCTTGCAACACAACCAATGATGAATGTACTGAACTACTGTGTAATGTGGAAGGGGGTTCTATAGAGAGAGTGACAATAAGCATCTCGCAGTGTGATAATCCTCCAACACTGACACTGGGGATGGTGGTCAACGGTCAGAGCTACACTACAGAATTGACTGACAGTACAACAAGGGCATTAGGTGATCTTGGAGTGACAGTGATTTACACTGTCACTCCAATCGTTTGAATCACGTGGGCGGAGTCTTTGTGCATAATTGCGGCGGTTTGCGCACAGCTGTACAACGCTGTACTGGCGTGTTCAGCTGTAGTATTTTAGTGTTCGGTACATAACGTTGTCTCCTTTGTCTCCGTTGTCTCTTTAGCTTTACAATCAAGCACTGTCCGAACATAGGGGCCATATTCCGACTGACGGTGGTTCGGACGGTGAGCGATGTTTGTGCCGCCGTAGCGTTACTATCCCTCTGCCGAAGCTGGTACTGTGCATGCCTGTTGAGTGATACCCTCTGAGGTACTGAACGTAGCGAGGATAGCTAACTCTGTCTGGTCCGAGAGAAATGGCTGTGTCCGGGTGATGGTGTCCGATAATTGATGAGCTACTCTATATGCACAACTGAATGGGAAGGACATGGACTTGTTGGTATCGTCCTCTTGCAACACAACCAATGATGAATGTACTGAACTACTGTGTAATGTGGAAGGGGGTTCTATAGAGAGAGTGACAATAAGCATCTCGCAGTGTGATAATCCTCCAACACTGACACTGGGGATGGTGGTCAACGGTCAGAGCTACACTACAGAATTGACTGACAGTACAACAAGGGCATTAGGTGATCTTGGAGTGACAGTGATTTACACTGTCTGGTATATACTACAACTACTCCATGGACATACAGGTATGTACATATTATACATACACACGTATGTATGTGAAAGGAAGGAAGAAGGGGGCTCGATGTGTGCATGTGTGCATGTGTGTGTGTGCATGTGTAGAAGGAAGAAGGAGTGCTGGAGCTCATTATGGCTCACTCATAAGCCGTCCATGCACAATAGTGAAGAGAGATTCACAGATCTGTAAACAGGATATGTGTATTCATCTGCTCCAGACAGGAAACTGGCCTCAGTAGAGTTTCCTTACACCAACAATGCCACCGGACTTTCCCAAGGCTATTCTTTCACTTGAGCCCAGGAAGTCATTTGTGAACTGCTTATACAAGTCTTGGCATATATATTTACCACAATCTGAGACATACAGCTAACTATAACTTGGAGAGGTGAGATGTAGAGTAACAGACACACAGACACACAGACAAACCTAACTACAGTAACCCTCGCTTCGCATGCGCGCCGAGAGTTAATCATGCACTGATATACTCTAACCTAGTGAAAAACACAGGTTTATGTACCATGTGATTTCTATAACACTTGCTTATAGAATGACCAGACACAGTCATAGTGAGGGGACAGAATATCGAACAACATCTTCAACTACAGAGTGCATGTATGGTGGACGTTTAGCTATTGCGCGTTGTAGACTAATTTGTACAAATAAAAGCACAACACTAGAACTAAGCATTGCTGCGCGCAACAAAAGTTTCTTGACAGCTAGCAAAGTTTGTGAAAAATGTATTTCCTTTTGAAAGCTTCCCCGTATGGTATTTTCGACCCAGTCCAAGTATGTTCTTTCTCTCTTTCTTTTCCCTTTCTTCTTCTCTCTCCCTGCAGATAGTGGCACAGAACGGTGACGCCTACTACGAGATTCCCTCTCGTCACAAGATCATCTTGGACCTCACCTCCTGTGGTCCTTCTCGACCTCTTGACCTCTCAACTGCCCCTCCCCCTACCATTGAGTTTACTGAGCCCACCATACCTTCCACCACTGACAGTTCTTACGATACGTGTGCAGCTCTCCAGTCTATATCTATAGCTGATGGCACTTTGTGTAACACAAACCAAGCCTACACAGCCCTGGAGTGTGAGATCTTAAGACTGGAGATACAGGTGGACCAGTGCCACAACCCTCCAGGGATCATCATCACTCTCTACAATAGCCAAAACCAGCCTGTCTTTAACCAATCCTACTACAACGAATCTACCTTTGTTAACGATAGTGTGCTCCCTGTGGATTTGAATGTGACCGTAGAACAACTTCCCCCTAATGCCATCATTGTGGAGGTATGTAATTATTGGCATCTGCGAATATTGGTGAATAGTTAATAAAAGTTTGTTGGCATTTAAAATGCAGGTGTCTGCGATCATTCGTTTACGAATCCCTCTACCATTTCCAAACCAAATCCCCCTCGTTCCAAGAACTGTCATCCCTATCGACAAGAGCACTTGTGTCACTTCAGCCCCACCAACAACAGGTATATAAAAATACATCCTCAGCTGGAAAGAGGACCTTTATGTGTAGTCTCCAGTTCCATGGCTGGCCCATGAACCTTACTACTTTGCACTCCCAATCTTATGTTCCACTGTTAGTAGATACGTACTATAAATACGCAGCCCGAGCCGCTCCTTAGAATTTAGTATGTGGTGATTTACCACAAATACACTCTAGGTTCTCTCAGCCACTAATAAACCTGCTGTGGATTGTCTTTCTTCCAGCCCCTACTCCAACCTGCTCGGCAATGCAACACATCCAGCAAGAGCTCTCCAGTGTCACAGTCAATCCCTGCATCTTCCCCGATGACCACAACTGCTCCACGCTCACCTGTCCAGGGATTGGAGATGAATTTACCATCAGCGTCCTCCGATGTGCCCATCCTCCTGCTGTCAGGATCATCTATCACCACACAATTGGTACTATCCTTGACCACACCTTCAACCATTCTGAAGTGGCTCGAATCCCTGGTACCACCAGTCTAGCATTCAATGTTACACTGGATCAGCTCTGTCCCATTGCGATTGGCCTTCAGGTGAGAAGTCAGAGGCACTAACTGCCCATTTGTAACTCAACATGAGTATAATTATAAGTAGTGTGTAATGCTATAAGACTACCATAGAAAAGTGTATGGGGATAATAACTATAGATAAGGTGGCACAAGGTCTGTAGAACGTTTTGCCACACGGTTGTAGAGTACTTCATCAATCACCGGACACCACTCTTTATCGGACACCTTCGAATTGTCGGACCGCAATGTCTTGTATACCTACAACTCACTGCAAGGGCAAGGCGAGTTACATGCCGTAAGTTCCTCGCTTGCGGGAACTAGTATCCGCGTTATTTTGCCTCAAATGCGCATGCGCAATCGTTTGAAGCACGTGGGCGGAGTCTTTGTGCATAATTGCGGCGGTTTGCGCACAGCTGTACGACGCTGTATTGGCGTGTTCAGCTGTAGTATTTTAGTGTTCGGTACATAACGTTGTCTCCTTTGTCTCCGTTGTCTCTTTAGCTTTACAATCAAGCACTGTCCGAACATAGGGGCCATATTCCGACTGACGGTGGTTCGGACGGTGAGCGATCTTTGTGCCGCCGTAGCGTTACTATCCCTCTGCCGAAGCTGGTACTGTGCATGCCTGTTGAGTGATACCCTCTGAGGTACTGAACGTAGCGAGGATAGCTAACTCTGTCTGGTCCGAGAGAAATGGCTGTGTCCGGGTGATGGTGTCCGATAATTGATGAGCTACTCTATATGCACACCTGAATGGGAAGAAAATGGATTTGTCTCTATTGCAAGTATATTTCAAGTTGTTTTTATTTTTTATTTCTAGGTTGATGTAACCTCAGATTTTGGCAGTAGTACTCTTATTCCTTACACAGTTATCCCCATCAACACCACTGGCTGTGGTGGTCAAGACTCGGGTAAGCTCTCCCACTCCCTTCCTTCTTAATTGCCTTCACAATATTTACCACTCCCTATTTCTCTCTCGCGTTCTATATAAGAAGGGAATGGGAAACACCTACGTATAAACGAGTTGTAGCTCGGTGCATAACGGTTACTGTGGTACTGGTCATCTCGGCTCACGACATAATTTGCTTTTCTCTATTATAGTAAAGGTGGTAGAATAAATCTGAGTATAATTATTTCCCATTTGCTCTAGATTTGTCCCACCACAGTGCCAACCACTGCCAGTCTCTCCTGTACATTGTCCCCATTGACTCCAACAGTATTGCAACCATCTCACACAGGAACTGGGTCCCTAACTATTGTGACTCCACCCACTGGTTCAACCACAACCCTACACCTCTCACCTAGTCTGAGTGGCGTTTCCTATACCCTGTCTTTATTGTCCACTGGATCAGCTATGTCCCTATCAACTCCATATAGACATTTTCCCACTGGATCAACTCCATCTTCTTCCACTGGATCAACTCCATCTTCTTTCAATAGACCAACTCCATCTTTTTCCACTGGACCAACTCCATCTTCTTTCAATAGACCAACTCCATCTTCTTCCACTAGACCAACTCCATCTCCTTCCACTAGACCAACTCCATCTTCTTCCACTAGACCAACTCCATCTTCTTCCACTGGACCAACTCCACCTTCTTCCACTGGACCAACTCCATCTTCTTCCACTGGACCAACTCCATCTCCTTCCACTGGACCAACTTCATCTTCTTCCACTGGACCAACTCCATTTTTTCCCACTAGACCAACTCCATCTTCTTCCACTGGACCAACTCCATCTTCTTCCACTGGACCAACTCCATCTCCTCCGTCTACTGCACAAACAGTAGCTCCATCTCCTTCATCAACTTCGTCTCCACCCACTAGCTCCAAATCAACCAGCTCGAACCACAGTGAGTAATTCACTTTCTCTATGTATATTTTGCACTCGTGTACAATACAGGTGCGGTGATGAATTTAGCCTTTATGTACTGATGTGCATTCCCTTAAAAATTTCAATTGGGGCACAGTTAGAATTAGTATGCGTGTATTATGATCTTGCATCCTATAAAATGTGGTGAGGTGCAGTGATTGGAGGAGCTGTAGGAGCCTCACTGGCGGCTCTGCTGACAGTATCAGTGGGATTACAGTGGTCTACTCCTGCGGCAGAAGTCGGTATCGTCACTACCAGCGCAGAGTACAATGTTCCATGAGCGGCTTGATGACGATGAGTCGAGCGACCAATTAATCACTGATTACTATTTATTCATGAGATACTATATAATACTTTTCGAGTTGCGGGATACCTATAGCACTGACGCAGTTACGTGCCTTTTTGAATCATAGCAGATTATAGGTCCTATCAAATCTATGTATCATACCTAGGCACTGGTCTCTAACCCTCGCGCGCATGCGCTAGCGAGGTTACGGTAGTCTGTCGGGAATGTGTGTTTGTAACGTGTGTCGTGCGACGGAAGGCTTGTTTTTTCATTTTTTGTGTGATTGTCTTGGGGTTTGGTTGTGTTAGGAGTCTTTTCGTGTGTCATTCTATTACTGGCACTACGCTACGGAGGTGGCCCATTCGCGCGATCCAACGGCTTCGAGACTACGCGAGCCTGACACTCCTTAAACTGGGCCAATTGCTGATGAACGCTTGTGTCAGAGAGCTGCGTGAAAACACGCGAGAAAAAAGCCATTGCATCATGAGCACTTGGGCTCACACGACACTGATCCGCTCGCTCTGTGTACTTGGGGCTCAGGCCCGGAATCACAACGACTGGCATGTATCGACGCCCGCACTGTCTTCTCTACTACATCTACCCTCGGCGCAGCATGCGCACGCGCGGGTTACTGTCGTGGTGGTTTGTCTGCTGTGTGGGTCTGTTACTCTACATCTCACCTCTCTGATGTCTGTCGTCACAGAACAGAACGTACATCTACTCAACGGGCGACGAAGGTCAGAAAATCGTTTTCTCATGAAAATGGCTCCGTGCCAGAGTCTAGAGACGCTTTCAGCATTGTCTGGCTAATGCCGTAGTCGCATTTGATCGCTCCCGAATGCAGTATCTACTACGGTAGCTTTAGCCACTGCTCCGCGCGCATCTACTATCAGAGGCCTAGCTGCGACCATCAGTAGACCGCGCATGCGCAGTTCGCCTTAATCCTCTTACTCGGTTCCCCCCCTCTCCCAAGTTCCTCGTTCATCCTCTCCTCTCTTTTTTCATATCGTTTTCTCCACCATCCTATCTCTACACCTTGCCCCCTTTTTCTCCCCTTCCTCCCCCCCTCTACCGTTCCATTCCACCGTGCCCCCCATCCCGTCCTTAGCACCCCACCCCCCTTCATCTTTCTTTTTCCCCTCCTCTTTCGTTGCAGTCCCTGTTCTTTTTCACCGCCGATCCTTTTCTTCCCCCCATACTCTTCTTGTCTCATTGCCCGTTTTGTCTCCACCGAGGGTCCGGGTTATTTACACCAGGAGCGCATGCGCAGCCGAGGGTAATGTAGTTGCGTTTGGTCTGGTGTGTGTGGTTGGGTCTGTTACTCTACATCTAACCGGCGACTGTGCGTGTCAAGAAACGATTAACATCTACCAAAGGGCACGAAGGTCAGAAAAGTCTGTGGGGTTTTCTCTGAAAATGCTCGTTGCAAAAATGGATTTAGAGCCGAAAATAAAAGCAATAGCAAAGATGCAACGGACGAGAGGTTACAGAGGTTGTGATCTGCGTACTAAAAAGCACAAGAAGATGCAAAGCAGGGCGTGTATGCCTATCGTATGTGTCTAGAGTTGTAGTTAGCCCGCGTAAGACTCTGCGCGAGGATGGCAAGAGACCAAGAGTAACAGCTAAAACTAAACCCAGCCCATTAATTAGTTGGTAGGGCGCGTTGGCGTTTACTTACTAGTTGGCGGCACAGTGAGCCGAGGGTTTGCAATTCAGTGCTTTTTCCTTAGTAGTTTGTGTGTTGGGTTTGTGTGTGTGTGTGATGTGTCTGTTACTTACATCTCAACTCTCTGAATGATCGTTAGTCACATGAAAACGAGACATTACACCAACGGGAGGAAGAAGTCAGGAAAATATGTGGTGGTTTTCTCTGAAAATTGCTCAGTGTGCAGAGCTAGACGGCATTTTCGAGCATTTTTGGCTAATGCCGGTAGTCAATCTTTATAGCTAGCGGATAAGGCGTGTCGGTTTGTAGGCGACGATCAGGCTTACATCAACCGGGCCGCTTGAGTGTCTATTTGAAGGCAAAGAATCACAACGACGAATGGCGGGATGACTCTCGCCGGCTATGCTACTACTGCACTCACCACGTGTTCAGACTCATCTGCGAGATACTTCGCCGCGTATTGTGCAATTTAATGTTTGTCAACTCGGCGCGCTGCGCAAGCGAGGGTTCCCTATCTGAAAGGTGGGGTTTCCCTGTGTGAACAAACGCTTCGTTGACAAAGCTAGGAGAGCGGAAACAGCCATATGCAAATACACAAGGCTTACGATGCGCATGATCTATACGAGCTGCTCCGCGTCTCTGAGGCAACAGGAAGATAGAATAGATGCGCAGGGATTATAGATTATCGATGCTATATCGAGTGTAGTAGGCCGCGGCAGACTGCAGAGGGTTGCAAGAGGACACAGTAACAGCTAAAACTAAACCAGCCATCAATGTGGAAAGCGCATGCGTTCTTCGCGTGCGCGGCACGGGCCGGGGTTTGACTTCAGTGCTTCATTGGGTATGGCGGCTATCGTTGGTACTTTATATCTGCCACTCCTCGAAGTCTGTTCAGGTCCCAGAAACGTACCGAAACGATACCACTTATTCCCTACCTGGCCGTACCGAAGGTACAGAACTTTAAATTAAAGGCGGTTTGTTATCCTGAACAACGCTCCCGTTGCAAGTAGCGCGGGAAAAAGCCATATGCCAAATACACGAGGTGTCTAAAACGGCATCGATTCCATACGCGTGCTCTGGTACCTCGTGAGGCACAAGAAGAGACTGCATAGCG